AGCCAAGAGGAACAAACCGAACGGTTTGAACCAAACATACCTATGGCATTGTAGGTTAGGCCATATAAACGAGAAATGCATATCCAAGCTACATCGGTCGGGAATGCTGGAGTCATTTGATCTTGAATCATATGACACATGCGAATCTTGTTTATTGGGTAAGATGACCAAATCTCCTTTCACCGGACACGGTGAAAGAGCTAGTGATCTTCTGGCACTCATTCATAGTGATGTGTGCGGGCCTTTCAATACAACTGCACGAGGTGGTTATTCATACTTCATCACTTTTACTGATGACCTCAGTAGATATGGCTATGTGTATCTCATGAAACACAAGTCAGAATCCTTTGAAATGTTCAAAGAATTCAGGAATGAAGTCGAAAAACAACTTGGCAAAGTATTAAAACACTACGATCCGATCGAGGTGGAGAATACTTAAGTGGTGAGTTCGATGACTATCTTAGAGAGCATGGGATTTTATCCCAACTCACACCTCCTGGAACTCCACAATGGAATGGTGTCTCTGATTCAGTAACAGCTGATTTAACTATACAAGGATACACATCCCATGCCTTGTGTTAAATCATGACATTTAGGACAGAAGGATAATAGTTATAGAATGTCTTGTGTCGTAGAAGGTATTGATGAGATGAACGTCTTTTTCATAATCTGGGGGTAATAATGGGTTGCTAGATACCGCTTATTATCTATGGTATTAATTTTATTAATATCATTGCCAGTGTTATGGATACCTAAAAGGTCACACAATTAGGACTTGTAAGGGAGTAGTATACTACACTAGTGGGAGTAATATTAAATATATAGTTGTGATAATTTTATATATATATGTATTTCGAAAATACATATGTATTTTAAAATTATATTTTGTTTGTGTCATTTTAATTATATGATAATTATATTTTGACAAAACAAATTTTTTTTTATTATATATATATATGTAGCGCCGAATGTGTATATATATATATTATATTTTTTTATCATTTTAATTATATGATAATTATTGATGTCAAAAATAAAATATGATATACTTTAATATGTGATTGCCGAAGATTTCAAGAGGAAAATCCAAGACCATTTTGATTTTATACATAAAGAATTTTTAATGTCAAATTGATATATTTGATTATTATTTGATGTAGGGATTCTATTTTGTTTGGTAGCTAAGATATTAAACATTTACACATGGTGTTAAGACATATACATGGACTTATGCTTAACATTAATTTCCTAGCAATTTCCTAAATATACTTTATTATAAAATTAGGTCTTGATTTTGAAAAATAGACTTAACAATTTTCGGCCAATCCATTTTAGAGAGAAGAAAAATCCTATTTTGTGTTCAAAGTTAGTTTTCTAAAGTGTTAGAAATATACACAAAATATTATAAAGAAATATTTATAAGATAAATATTTTACTATATATTTATTACTCCCAAAGTAGTATTATTATAGTTTTTACTATCCTATATTAAACTTGCTAGCACAAGTTTAATCTTGGACTCCGGAGCAAGTTCGTGTGGATACGTTGGAGGCTTCATACGTTTGGCGCTACGTTCATCTCCTCAAAACCATCCCCGACCGTTCCTCCGTTCTCCGTTTTCACCGTTAAGGTAAATTTCTTACTATAGCTAGTAATTTACGTAAGTTGTTCTTGGGTGGAATCGAGTTTTGGACTATAAATTTTTTTT